TCCTGGAAATGATAAGAAGGAAATGGACAAATGTCTGCAGAAATGTTTTTAATTGAGAGAGAGGAGGAATGTTTTGGTACAAAGAGGCTCTCATGTGGGAGGAATGCAATCCTTTTTGGCAGGATCTGTCATTAATGCCAGCAAGGTGCCAAATGATGACAAAATATGTCTTTGACAGAGAATTTGGTGGGAAACACAAAGGCTTTTATTAGTTTTGGAATGATGRCATTTAAACAGACCTCCTTAAAGGRCTAGTATGGAAAAAATATGAACAATTAGTATCTTACCTGTTGTAGACGGCTCTTTAAAGGATCTCAGTTTGAAAAGTTTAATTCTGAACTGACTGATGAGCTAATAGCTAGTCAGAGTGCATTGCTTTTGCCTTTAGACAATATTAAATTCAGATTGTTCATTTGAATGCTATTTTGGTTGCTTAAATCAAGAGTTCTCAAGCCATTTGGGTCTCGGGACTCCTTACAAGGGCAAAAAAATTCAAGGGACCCCTCATAAACCCCCTGTTGTTTCAAAATATAATTTACTGTCATTTCAACCCCTRAATGCGATGGGAATATRTATTTTTAYTAAGTTTATCATGTTTGTTTTATCTGTTCATTGTTCTCCATGAATTTTTAAAAATATAAACCAAATTAACAATTTAGTGAAATTTTTTTGAGGACCCCCAAGATGCTGTACCTCTCRCGGACCCCTGGGGGTTCTGGGAACCCAGTTTGAGAACCTCTGGCTTAAATAATRCGTCAAACTCAAGGTCTGTGGGCAAAATGTGGCTTGGGAGCTTAAAAGATGCATTAATGTCTTTAAAAAACCTGCTTTAAAGCCAGCATAAACTAAATCTATGATGCATGCCAATTATTTTACAGAAAAATGACGGCATCCCACCACTAAGTAGAGGTGCACAGGCTTCAAAAGTAGTCATCAGACAATGTAAGTCTGTAAAATCTCCATKTCGCTGCATTTTCAATGACTACTTTTGCTGGAGCCAAGTTGTACTGAGAAGTAGGAATTTCCCATTTACAGGTCGTGACTTATACTGTAGTGGGAATTCCCTGTCTGAAAAAGGGAGAGTTTAGAAAAAGACAGCATCTACTCACCTCATCTCAACAGTCAGTAAAGCTCTCTTATACTTTTACCAGTTTTTCTATATTATTTATTTCACATTTAGTCAGTGGTACACGTAGTACTTTTCAGTGTTTAGAAGAGTATGTGTTAAAACATTGTTTCCATGCAGGAAATACCATGTAGAGCTCAGTTATTTGCTTGTGATGCTYGGGAACGTGAAGTTTCATGTTTCGTTGAAGTTAAACACAAAACGTTTAAGTTTATTACAACGGACTTTTTGAGGGCCACCAAAATGCTTGTAACCCTTGGTAAAAATTTGTTTGACATCCCTTCCTTAAATTATGGACTGCAGTCCAAACCTTTCCAGACTAAAATCAGTGGTAAATTTCAGTCGATGCATTAAATTACTTGCACTTTTTCTAGCATTTACGGTAATCTGTTTTAAGTAACTAGTATTTTATGATAATTGCTTCGTTTCTCTGGTCCTCAGGTTGGCAGCTTCTGTTTCTGTGTCTCGGTGTGGGCCATGGAGAGTGGTTTGTCAAAAGGATGTGGGCCAGGTCTGGCAATGACGATCCTGTTTTCAAGATGGCATGCCATAACTGGCCCAGCTGTGGTTTGGTTTATGTGGTGCAGGCCCATGCATGGGCCATCATTCTTTGCGGTATCTGGGTTAAGTGTTAGAAMGTTTAGTGYATTGTTTGGGCCAGAAATGGGCCATACAATTTATGCTATGTGGGTAAYCCAATCTCTGATTTGTCATCAGATTTGCATAAGGTTGAGAAAACTCAGGGCATCGAAGGACAGACCCACTCTGTGGCCTTATACTGGCTAAAACTAAGATCACACACACTGAAACCTTCCTTTATAAGTGTGACACCAGGTAGAGTTTCGACATTAACATGAGCCACTTTGGACACTTTGAGTACCCCTTTCTTAATTAGCAACGGCYTCGTTTACAAAGTTACACAAGACACTTAATTTACATAGATGCTGGAGAGATTTCACAAACAAATCTCAGTGGGACGCATGCTGATGGGGTCTGGGAAGGAGAGGGCAGTCAGTTGGGTCTTTGTTGCCGGAGGACAGTGGAAGTAACTGGAGAGGTAAGGAGCAGGACGTGTGAAAAGCTCCAGRATCGAGGGCTGACCCCGGGGTCACATTAGGCAGCAAGAAGAGTCTCTGCAGAGGCAGGTTTTCAGATCTCCCCTGTCTTGTTGTGTAAATGTTCACATACTCCTCACCAATCTGTGAAAGCCAAGAGAAGAATCTCGTTTCACTTCTTRACCCRATGACTCAGCCTTACTTATTCCCTYCAAAAGACAGCAATGTCTCGATTCTCTGGACCTGCATGCAGAGATTTTTCAGGTTTGCACTTTTAAAGCATTATGTTGAGTCAATCCTAATTAAACCCTAACCTAATTAATCAAAAATAACCAAAGTAACTGGAATTTATTCTCAAGATGCCACAAACGCCTGAACAAACCGAAGCTTCAAACMCCCTGAAATGAAAGCTATTTTGAAGGATAAGTGATGGAACTGACCAACTCTTCAAGGATAGCTTAAAAAGCAAAGTTAGGGATTTATCCATTCCACACAAAGGGTGTAGGTATCAAGTGTTGGGCCACTCTGTTAAATAAATGTCATGACATTTGTTGTAAACCCCAYGGTGGCGCTAGATGCTTGGGAATTTGAGGACAATCACAGCTGCCAATTAAAAGAAAGAAAGGACTTGTATTTAGTCGGACAACATTCAGGAATAAATTTAACCGAAACAGACCAGAAATGTTACAAAGATGAATTTTTTTTTGTGTTGAATGCCTCCTTAGCACCCAACCCTTAAAGAGAGGATCCTTAAAAGTTGTTAAGGGGTGGGTGGCACGGATATCCCACACAGGATTAGAGCCGATGGAAGAGAAGGAGGGGAGGGTGAAGGGAATGGCCCAGAAACACAACACCCMCTGACACGTATGGAATGAACTCTCTGCAGCTCGACTGAAAGAGAAAGAGAGAAGGTCTGCAGAATTACATCTCTTCCACGGCCAAGCATTCAGYCTGCGAATCAGAGCGGTGCGTGTTGACCACTTGTACATTCTGCTCGTAACACGAGAGATGTCCAGTTCAGTCAAAATGTTGAAGCGGGCCGCTGAACATGGAAGCAAAGACCTGAGCTGTCCGAGATCAAGAACCCAGCAGCTCCTGTTATGTCTAAGAACCAAGTGAAGTTTTATATTCAGTACTGTATATATAAAACCCCTAGATTTACAGCATTTCGGCTATAAAAGTGTTGTTAATTAATTACTTTGGACTAAAAAAAGCAATCAACGAAATTAATGTTGCTCAAATTGTTCTTTGATTGACGCACAGTACAGTGACTGAGGTAGGTTCAAAAACAGCCAGAGCTCATGTTAAACCAAAAATAAACTCGCCCATACAAGGTCTTGTAATCCACTTTGATTATAAAATTCAGTCAAAACAAACATATCGACAAAGATCCTGATTAACAGTTTCTAAAGTTTTGGCCACAAAACTAAATGAACACATACAAAATATTCTCACGGATCATTGCATTAAAAAAAAAAACCTAACTGAAACAGTGACTCCGGTTTTTAAAGTTTATTTAGGAGAAGTGAAAGCACGTTTACACAGTACAGGTATAGAAACAGCATCATTATTTCAAGAAACCAACCTGAAATTAAAGTGACAAGAGCAATAGAAACTGAAAACATATGATATAAGTGAAAAACACACCGTAATTCAGACATCACAAGGCAAACTGTATTATAGGTCAAGTTTTATTTTTTGATTTGAAAAATGTTCTTATTTGGTGTTTCTAAAAACTGAAGTGTGAATGACTGGTAATATTTCATATTTAAAATAAAAATGACAAATGCCCATAAACAACACAACCTCCCTGAAATGACACAAATTACATACAACAAATTAAAACAAAGAATTTCCAGCCTTGCAAACCAGCCAAACAACTCACAGCAATAAAAACAACCCCCCCCCCMCCCCCCCAAAAAAAACTAATTTCCTGTGCACACACTCATCATGAGATATTATACACAGATCAATAAAACATGATAAGATGTCTCCAGTTATTTGCTACACAATGTGTTAAAGCAACAATCAAAATATCAAAAACAACAAACAAAAACACCCAAATATTTAACGGAATCAGCCAAAAAGAGCCTGATTTCTGCTAAGGATGTAAAGAAATTCAGCTCTTTCAAAAAAGCTTGAGCTTAAATTTGCTCCAATACGCCAGTGCTAACATTAGCATTAGTTAACAGTTTAGAGTCACCAAACTGTTGAGCGAATACTGTAGTTATATGTATTCACAGCTCCATAGAAAGCTCACCCCTCGTATATCTTTTGCAACAACTCGATCTTGACATCAATGTCTTACCAAATAAAAGCGGTCATCCCTATGTTTAACGGTACATATATTCCTTGGTACACCCATGTTAAAGATTATAGGTTCCCATGTAATTAAGCAACAACCATGTCCAGGGAATGCAGATGGTTCCCCAGACACCCCTATGTTTCCTGGTACTGTAACTATGTTCTTCAGAATCTCTATGTTCCCTCCAGTGCACCCATCCCAATGTTTACCAGACTTTCATTATTAATCATGGGAGAAAATAAGTACCGCGGAACAGAAGGTGCCAGGAGACAGAGATATTAGGGAACATAATTACTGAGGAACAGAGGGACTGGGGAACAGAATTACTAGAGAACATAGGTACTGGGGTGCTAAATTATTGGAGAACATAGGTTAGCGGAACAGAGGTACCAGGAAACATAAGTACAGGGGAGCAGAGGTTATCGGGGAACAAAGGTACAAGGGAACAGAGGTTATCTGGGAACAGAGGTACTAGGGAACACAGGCACCATGGAACAGAGATTATCTGGGGAACAAAGGTACCACTGAACATAAATTATTGGGGAACAGAAGTACTAGGGAACATAGATACTGGGGGACATAAGTACGGGGGAACAGAGATTTTTGGGGAACAGAGGGACTGGGGAACATGGGGAAGGTATGGACCCAAATTGAACTCGGAGGAACTGCACAGTAACTTATGTAACACTATATTTGGTTGATTTTACAACACTGAGTTGTAAAGCGGGTGCTAATTAGAGGGAAGTTTTAAAAAAGCCAAATTCATCATCTTAAAGTTTTAAAAGGACGTTTATTCAATGCTTCAGAGCTCCGAGTGTTGGTAGGTGGTAAAATAGAGACGCACTGTGGTGAATCGGTGAGAAATCTTTTGGTTGAACCTGTTCTAACCTAAACACAGCGGAAGTCTCAATGACACAGCAGCCGGTGTCTAGTTCCCATACAGAAAGGGTCTCAACGCTTCTCAGCTGCTTGTGCAGGGAGACAGAGCCGCTACCATTCATGAGCTCAACAGACAGAAGACCTGCTGTAACTCGATCGGTGACCAGTCTCCGTTTCTGTCCCAGACCCAAAGCTACCCTCGGACTTGTCTCGCCTTTYGCAGGCGGCGTTTTGACGAAACGGTAACCCTAAACACACGGCATTTCTCCACCGGCTCCGGTGGTTACCCCAGGATATTTACCCTGGAGTCACGTGAAACTATCTGATCTGGGTAACAAGAGGAATTAAGGGCAGATTTGTTCCTCGAGTATGAATTAAATTTTTTTAAAAAGGAACAATTTGAATCTAAACCTGCTCAAAAAGAGGCGCTCTTGCGACTGCTATAGCTGATAAAAGATCAATAAAAAATAAAATAAACCTACTTGTTCTTGCTCTAAACTTTATAGTCTCAGTTTTTTGGTATCCAATTTTTACTTCAAGTTTGAACATTTATACTATTAAATGTTATATTATAATCTATAAATGTTTTATTTACATATACTAATATTTATATCCATCTTCTTTAACTGACACTATCCTTATATATACTATACTTATACTATATGTACTATATATGTATATATAGACTTTTAAACCTATAGTTTAAAATCCGCAACCACATAACAAACCTGCTTGTGTGAATTTTAGCAAAATATCTCACAAACCAGTGGATGAAAATTCATGAAATACTCGGAGAAACTAGTTTATCTCTTTTAAGGTTGACCTCATTCAAGATGGCTGGATAGTAGACCTTAGCAGACACAAAAATGGCTACAACTCAGTCAGCTTTACAGCTATCAAGCTAAAGTTTGGCGTGGTAGTAGCTGAGAGTCACCTCCCAAAAAAACCCCACCTCAGACACTAACAGATCATGGTGGCATTTTAAAGGTTTGGCTTGCAGAGCAGCGGGCAATCGTTTACTAAATGCTACTTTTATTTTTAAGTGGTTTAACAATCCAAGCACTTGGCATATTTTATTGGTAATTATGGCAGCTATTTTTTCATTAAAAACAACAATCAACAAAGAATRTTGACTTGTTTAATATTTCATATTATTGAGATATAAATGGACGTCTTAATTTAATGTGGTGCCTAAACTCTACCTAATCACTTTGATGAACGAAAATGTGTGTCCCAACGCCATTTTTTTTTATTTGGCACCTTGTTTTTCTCCTAAATGTGTGATGAAAGTACTATTAATTAAGACTAAATGTTTTATTTGATCCATGTTGATATATCGATTTAACTTTGAGGAAGATATTTTAGGAATAGCACAACAATTTCACTAAATTTAATTGATTTTTTTGTGTTTTTTCCAAACAGTGTGTTCTTTTACGAGACCATGTTGTTTCCTGCWAATTAAAACATACATCTTTTAATATGTAACTTAAAAGAGTTAAAAAGCACCTGTTTAYATGGTTTGGTTTCTCTTTGGCACCATTGAAGCCACACATTGAACATTTTAAAGGAGCCCCTACATTTGCCCTCATTGCTTTTATTCCTGACGTTATTTCTGTTTTAGTCTCACCTTTCATTGGACCTAAACCCTAAAAAGTCAAAATTTCAAGTGTGTACATTTAAAACTGTGAATGAAGGTAAACAAGCTTCAATGTGCAAATGTACTATTGCATATATATAAAATATTGTACACCGGACGTAAAACCTTATTACATTCGAGATTAAAACACYTTTTTTGTGTACTAATACCCAAGTTTAAGCTTAGTAACCAGTACGTGTTCATTTATTTCAAAAAATTTTCACTAATTCAGAACTAAAGAGCCTCCTTACTCAAAGATCTGAGGAGCTGCAGCGGTCCTTGACTCTAGGCACCACCAGGATCTCGTCTCCGTCCCGGATGCCRTAGGAGTGAAGCGCCCTGAAGCCGCACTTCAGCTCCTCTGGTCCACGCACCGAACACATCTCTCTGTCGATGTGGAACAGCCTGATGCCGTTGGTGGGCAGCTGCAGCAGGGCCTTCAGGTGCTTCTTCAGGTCACCCACCGTCTGCTCCAGGCGGAGGCTGATGGGCTCCACCCGGTCGCCCCAGCGGACGTCCACCACGGTGGAGCGGGGAGTCAGGTCCACCTCCGCCAACGGAGCCAACTGACCGTACTTTGACACGAGAACCTGGTACCTGGAGAAGAGCAGAGTCGTGGTTTAGCTCGTGGAAATAATAATAATAAAAAAATTAATTTAAAATGGAATGGTCAACCACTGCGTAAAGTATGCTATCAAGGCTAGAATTTGTGCCGCCATCTTGGTAGGTAACAATTGAATGCCTCATAGTAGTATAGTAAACAAACAACAACAAAAAAATAGCTATGTAATATTAGGGTAAATGATCTTTTTTTCCTCTAATTTATAGGCCTGAAACTGTGAAACTAAACATGCTGATTTAATAAAAGACTAAAACTAATTCAATTATTCAATTTACCCTCTGGTAAGTTTTGTTTCCAGGTAACAGGTGAGTGGAAATGTACTTTTCGAGTGGTAGAGAAAGAAATAAAACTTCTGCCTCTCGCTTGCCCGTGAGAAAGCCTTCAGCCACCTCAGGGGGATCGCACGCTCGAGATAAGAACCCCGGGAACAATTAAATAAAATCCAGGAGAAAAGGGACCGTGCTTTCAAGGCGACTGGAACAGCTGGGCCAATCGAAGCAATTTGACTTTCCTTTCTAAAAGCCGATCCGCCTCCCAGAAGGAGTTTTCTGGCCGGAAGCCTGCAGACCACTGTGGGAATTCTCCTCYGAGGCCAAAGTGCACAAAGTGCCATTCTTAGAGAAGTCATTAAGTAACAATAMGATTCTTCGGCTAGGTGCAGGTGAAATCAACATTACATTTGTTTGAAATGAACTAAACTAAAAGGCATTCCTTCTCTTTTCTTGCAGTTCACCCTCTTTGCTGACTCAGCATTATTATCTTCCTGTTTGTAGTTTTATCTGCATTTTTTTTGTTTTTTCATGTCATTTTTGTGCACTTTAATCATTCCTACATCTAATTATTCCACCTGAGTGCTGTTAGCACATTGCAACATTTTTTTCCTGTAACTTTAATACTTTTTTTTAAAATTTACCTTGGTTTAAAATTAAGTTTCCCAAATTAAAACAGTGATGTTTTTTAATTCCTTCAACTTTTATGTTTTTATGCTACTTTTAGCTACTGTTCTGCCCTTTTTATCTACCATTCTATTACAAATAACCTTTAATAACTACTAGCTTTTAGCTAATGTTCTGCTATGTTTAGCTGACATTCTGTTCCTTTTGGCTTTTGGTTTTGCTACTATGAGGTCTGAGCTACTATTTGCTACTTTAAGCTTTACAGTCCTTCTATTATGACCTTTTAGCTACTGTCCTGCTAGCTTTAGCTTCTTTCTAATTTGCTCCTCTTAGCCTCAACTAGCATTTTGCTACTTTCCCCCAACTTTTAACATTTAAGATACTGTTAAGTTCCCTGGCTAGTTTATTATTATTTTTTTTATTATTTTTAGTTGTTTGTTAGCAATTTGCTACTTTTAGTTCTTGTTTTCTTTAAATATTTAAAATACAAATTAGCTCCTTTTACCTAGTCATTTACTACTTTATCTACTTTCCTGTTTTCTTTTAGCATTTGAAATATAATTTTGCTCCTTTTAGCTAATCTTTTCCTACTTTTAGCTACTTTCATTTTTTTAGTGTTTAAAATACAGTTTAACTCCTTTCAGCTAGTCTTTTACTACCTTTGGCTACTTTTAGTTCCTGTTTTCTTTTAGCATTTAAAATATAATTTAGCTCCTTTTAGCTAAACTTTTAGGATTTTGCTAACAAATTGCTAATTTTAACCAGTCTTTTGCAGATTTTAGCTTGTAGCATTTGCCTCTTTTTTAGCACCCATTCTGCTGCCTCTAACATCTTTGCTTTAATGTTGACAGCTCAGTTTAGCTTTATCATCAAACATCATGCAGCACCAAACATTTTGCATTCTCACATGGAATGTTTTTTTAATTTTTTTGTTTCTGTATTTTTCTAAATTGCAAAGTTTCTTTTAAAACAAATTAAAGTTGGTTGTTTCGTCTTTAAAGGTTCATTTGAGAGGCTGTGACCCTGAAATCTACGGCCCCGTCCGACAGGAAAGAGGATATCTGTGTGTTCGCCGCTAACTGAGTGTGTCCGACACGCCCCCACGCGCAGTCACGGTGTTCCTTGAACTCTGACCTCCTCTGAGAATCAGAAACGACAAACACCAGCATTTATTTTAGTGCGAAAGAGCGACATGAARATAAAACACAGGGATAAAAGGAAGTTGAAGATTATCTGTGATAACTAAAGTAAAACCCTCAAAAAATCAATCTGTCAGGTAAATGTTTGAGGCTGACAGCGTAGGTGTGTACATAAAGACAAAAAAAAAAATCTACCTGCTACTTGATGGATCGGTTTTCCAATCGGAGAATTCCCGGCACAAAGGGTTCATTGAGCAGCGAGAGACTGGAGGTATTGTCCCCTAAAGGTTAGTTTCCCCGAGTCAGGGACCAGACCTTCCAATAGAAACACTCCTACAGTCCAGGTTAAGTGGAATTCAGCCGACGACGAGTGAAATTATCTGAACATGGTGAGCCCAAAAAAAAAAAAAAAACCCTCCACAGATCTGTAGCTACGTTCCTAACACGATCAGGCAGGGTGGACCTTTACAYTTTAAAGTGATGGAGATGAGCCTACCTCTGAGGGCGTTCCTGCTCCGGACAGTCTTGGTAATACCGGATGAAGAACCTCTCTGCATCTTCTCTCTCTCCGTCAGAAACGGCGCTCCCGTTCAAAAACATGACAGATGGCAGCCTGGAAGCAGGAGGTCATTAAATATGGAGGTAAATGAATGTTTAATTAAAAAAGCAGTGCCGTATGATGTCCCTTACTGCGCTAAAAGGAGGCTCCGTCTCTCCTGGCTGCTGTAAGACTGCAGTAAGGGAATCCCCTGTGCTTTGACTTCCTCGAGTTTAGGAAAGAAATTCAGTCTTTCGATGTCTTCCCATTTACTGAGACCTGAATAAAAACATAAAACAACACAACGAGTTTGAGTTCTACTGACAAATATTTATTTGTTTTAGATCATGCACTCAGTGAACTTTAAAGGGCATTAATATTAGGGGTGTAAGAAAATATCAATACAATGAAATATTGCGATATGTCAGTTCCTAATGCTGTATTGATTTTTAATTGCGGCTTAAAATGTAAACTTTCATGCCAGCAGTTCATTCTTTTGTTGTAATTTAATCACTAAATGGCAGCTGTCAGCCCGCCATTTGTCCCCTCCACTCCTAAAGAGTTTAACGCTAACTCAAACATTAGCATTGTGATTAATCATAAAACAAACTGAGTTTTTTTAATTAGATTTTTTTAGAAAACAATGCCAATATATCATGATATATCATATTATGACTTCTGTGTCATGATATGTATCATATCAACAAATTCTTGCCAATACACATCATTTTTTGCTGCACAGTCTTGCTAGTAGTATTCCTAAATGTGTACCTCCATATCATCAGAGAGGCAGGCTTTTTCAGATAACAGGATAAACTGTATTTTTTTCCTCTTGGTTTCCGTCGTTTCCAAAAAAGCCTCAAATTTTCCATTTTAAATTCAGTTTACTATGATAAAAATGACCCTTCCTCACATTAAAAGAAAAAAATGTGCTAACCCGTTCTCTCCGATCCAAACCTGAGTTGTTGAGGTTGATGCTGCGCAGGTTGGGGAACAGGTGCTCCAGGGTCTCCTTGGTGTCCTCCACAGAGTTCACACTGTTCTTGGCCAGGACCAGCGTGCTCAGGCCGGGGTACAGCCGCCCGAACTTCCTGACCTCGGCCCAGTCCTGCAGCTGGTTGTCGGTGATCTGCAGCAGGCTCAGGGACGGGCAGGACGTCTGGGACTCAGACACGGTGTTGTAGCCGTTCAGGCAGAGGAAAAGCTCCTTCAGCCTGGAGGTGATGGAGCGGAGGAGAAAAATAAAACCAAATCAGCTTCTTTAAAAAAAAAACACATACAGGGTATTTTAGCTTTAAACAATGAGGAATCACTCACTGTGGCGTGTGCCGAGTGAGCGTGTGCACCGTGTCCCAGCTGACTTGTGTGTTGATGAGGACGAGTCGTCGGACCCGGGAGAAGACGTCGGCCATGCTGGGCTGCAGCTGCACGCCGCTCAGAGGGTTCATGCTCAGATTGAGGAAGTTCAGACGAGGGATGCTGGAGACGATGGTACCAATCTGAGGACGCAAAAAAAAAAGGTAGTTGGATGATTTATTTTAATAAAACGTATAAACCTGCCAGTCTTTGGGTCGGAACAGGCTGCTATGAAAGGTGGGTGATCATGTAACTGGACGTGTTTGTCTGTTTGAATGAAAGTGATTGAACAAAAACAACTGACTTACTCCAGGAGACAAAATAGATCAAGATGGCCGCCACAGCTGACTGACCTCAGCAAACACAAACAAGGTYGTAAACATAGAGGTGCATAATGACAACTAGAGTGAGACTAAACCACGTGACTCTGATCTACTGTAGCAGCTACATCGCAGAACAGAACGGTCAAGAGTCTAAATTTATTATTACTGCTCATGTTGGCTACTTAAATTATAAAAACTAATAATATTTTAGAGCGTATATAAGCCATCTAATGTTTGTAAAAATGCCATAAAGCTGTGTGAGTTTCAGATGAACCAACAGAAGGGAAACAGTAMGCAAATTTTATCTTATCTAAATGTGCTAGTGATTTGAGCRGAACTGAAGCTAATAATGTAGCAGTTTAAATTAAAATAAGCTTATAAAGCTGATGTAATCACTGTTAATTACTGAACTGGTTAGCAGATATTAGCTTCTGTAGCTTATTTTGTTATACAGAGAGTAGCA